TCCGTTTTGGGGTAACCGTTTGAACAGGAATCTCGCAAACCGCTCCAAACTATGGTTCGAAAATTAAAAACGAATGAATCCCACAAAGCGCTCATGATCCGAAATTTAAAAACTAATGAATTTAAGATGATGCATGTAATGTTCATGTCTTTGGTTCAATAATTAGTTTCCGTACATATAATTGAAACTGCATAGTTTGAAAATTTGAGCCAAAATTAACTCTTCTCAGATCAAACTCTCAAGCGATGCAGTTTAAGTTACATGTAATTTGTCAGTCCAATTTCTTGGTTTATATGAATTTATTACTTGTCAGACTTTGTCTAGAGTTGTTTATATCGAACACTCAAAGTGTGAGGCAACTGAATTTGTTTTGCAACTGCATATTCATAAATAATAGCTCAGTAGAGCTGATGCATTTTAATTTATCACGCTGAAACTTTTCAAAAAATATTTAATCTAAAAAAAATTATAGTTCAAAGAAACTACGTAATTTTAATTTTTTATTCTAAAGTATATGTGGTTTTTAGGTATAAGAGTAAAAACGTGCTGGAAAAATTTTGAACTCTTAATAACCCGTTCGAAACAATCTGCGGTGCGTATTCATAGGCTCCAAAATAAAAAATTAGTCCCATAGGTTCCAAAATAAAAAAGCAGTCGCCTAAGTTCCAAATCTTTTCAATTGGTCAAAAGACTAAATTAGCCGAGTCTCGAAATAACCGGCTCTAAATTTCGTATAGAGTCCTACCCTTTGGTGGCAAGCTCGCAACACGTTGGTGCGGCTGCGGCGGTCACTACTCTGCAGCTTGAATTTATGCTGGTTGAACAGTAAACAATCAATCCATAAATTCGTTGGCTCAAATTTCAACCAACCAGAATTCAAGAAGATAAATTTTGGAACTTATGCGACTGATTTTTATTTTGGAACCTATGGATATTGGAACTTATGGGAACTCACCCAATCTGCATTAAGCTTGAACATTTGGCCTGCTCTTTTCCTTTCCCTGCTCAAGCCCTCCCCTGGATTGTGAGGTGCCTAAATGAAATTGTTTGATATCAGTAGAATTTTATAGCTAACTTCTCAAAATTGAGTAAAGCCAAGTGAAACAACATAATGGAATTGTTTGATTCCAGTAGAAGTTCATAGCTCAATTCTCAAAGTTGAGTATAGCCAAGTGAAATATTATGTTGGAATTGTTTGAGATTCCAGTAGAATTTAATAGCTCAGTTCACAATTTAAAATTCTGTTGAAGTAGCTGAACAGTAAAGATGAATTTGATCAGTAATTGTTTGTTCGACTCTTTTTCACTTACTGACGCATGATTCAACCCTACTCGACCAATATTTTGACCCTGTTTGACTTAAAATGACCCTGTTTAACCCATGATTTGATCTTGTTTGTGCTATAACTCGGCTTCGGTCGGAACGACGGCCTCACTCGATCGTCTCAGTGTAGCTCAAGGACCAAATCGCTTGATTAATTTTGTCAAAACTCAGTCAATAACTTCAGCACGGGTCTTTCACGCTGTTTTGAAATGAACAAATCTCATTACCAGTTTTTAGATTCAAGCGCTCCCCGAATTGTAAATTTTGTAGTATAACTTAACAACAGCAGCAACATCCACACCTTAACTTGAAATACAAAGTCACATCGAAAAAAAAACTGTCAATAGTTTTGAGAAGAACCTGAAAGGCCTTTTTGTTTTTTTTTGCGCAGCGGAAGATGCGAAGCTACAATTTTTGCCTATTAATTTTAAGTATTTTTGAAAGTATTTTAAATTTTGAAAGTATTTTATCTTTCTATGGGCTTACGCATTTATCAAGTATCAAGTACTTCAAATATTTTTCAAGTCGTCTGGGGATCACACTTCCGAACACGCTTTTTGCTTTATAACATTTTTTTTGAAAACCAGCAAGAACCAATATAGAACCAATTGGGCACCTGGTTGTTTTTTTGATTGGTTGTTGGTTTAGTCATCATCATTTCCAAGTTAAATTAACCCAAATTGAGAAAAACGCGTAAAACATTCAAGTTTACTGCGTTTTGTCCGGATAATTTAAATAAAGTTTGTGATGGCTCCTTTCTTGATAGATGTCACAACTAAATTTAAAAAGCAAAAAATGGATTATAGCGTGAGCCACTCAGAATCGAGAACAAAACTAATTCGTACGTTTATTTTTAAATCTTGTTAGTTTTTGGGGCAGAACTTTGTCTACTTTTTCACCTATCAAGAATAAGCCACTACAACGTTGATTTAAAGTACAAAACGCAGTAAAATTGAACTTTGCAACGCGTTTTTCTCAAAATGGTTTAAATTTGGGTGGGAATTGATGAGAAAGAAGCTTGCTTAGAATTTCAAAAAAAATCAACAATGTACAAAATGTTTCGCAAAAACCCGGCCCAAAAGTTTACCCAAAGAAAAACTTTTTTTATTTTTGTTTAGTCCTTCATAAATTACACCAAAACTATCTGGTCAGTCACTGACATAATTAAATCAACGTGAGTCTCTTATCTAGCCCAAAAAACTTTAAGGAAGAAACAATCTCAAAATGCTGTTTCGCAACCTATTTTGTCTATCAAGCAAAAATAAATTATTTCATATAATTGTTTGAAGATTGAATTTTTCTTACAACTTCTTGAGGTACGTAAGAAGCTCACGTAGAAATCAGCATGTCAGCAGTCGATCTTGCATAATTCTGATTGACTTAGAAAGTCGAAAACTTGTCTTTGTCATCGAAGTTCAACACAATTTGAAAAAAGCTTTTCAAACTTCAAATTCAATCCGTTTTGTCCGAATAATTTTAATCAGCACTGTACAATGGGGAAAGGGGCTTTTTTAGGTAGTTTGATGCTATACTCCTATAGGTGCTAGCTATTTAAGCGGTTCGGTTTTTTACCAAACCGATCTTTTAGCAGATGGTGGCGTCCCTCATGATGGAGGGTTCAAATGTTGGAAATCTCAAAATTCAGTATTTAAAATTCTCAAGGAAATAAAAAAACTCAAAAAAAATAATGAAACCAGGTCATTAATTTTATTTTTGACCAATTTGAAAATAAACAGAAACAATGAATTTTGAAATTTTGCGAAATCAAATTCAGGAATTGGAAAAAATTAAAGATCAATTTTCAAAGAAAAGAAAATTGTAACGAGTTTTTGTGTACCGCTATAAATAGTTTTCTGTTATTAAAGACTTCGGCTATGTGCAAAACCTGATTGGGCAATCTCAGCTTCAGAAAATTTTGATTGGTTGAAAGTTCCTACATCATGCGGTCCCTCAATCATGAGAATATCCCCGCTTTTTAAGAGACTCAAAATATCTCAGAGCAAGTCAGAACGGTAACTTCAAAAGTGGTATTGCTAAGTAGCTAAAAGTAAATCTAGTAGGTTACTATGTTAACTGGCGCTAATTTCGACTATTCTGTTGTTACAGTTGATAGTTTTGAGGCAAGTTTTGTGATAATTGGCCAAATTAGGAAAACTTAATCCAGAACTGAGCGTTTTTTTTTACGTCTGTCAGTCAGCTGTGTCTCAGTTCTTTTATGTTGGCCTGCTAAAATGCTAATTTTCAGCTATTTGTGCTACAAATTTTTTTTGTTAAAAGGTCAATCAACAATGCTATATAAGGAGAAAAAAACAGTCACACATTTTTATATAACGAAGAAAAAAATCGTAGAGTTATAAGACAATTTTCTAGACGTGCAAAATGCTTCTCCTCTTCAAATGTTACTTTGAATGACTAGCAGGGGTTGGATCTGGGATTTTCTCGAGGGGGGAGCACATTTGGAAAATTATGTCAGAGCGATCAAAGAAAATGAAAGAACAAAAGAAGAACAAAAGGAGCGTCCTTGTAGCGGAATCAGCTACCCGCGTTGACCTCCATGCACCGAAAATGCTTATCATACAATTCCATGCAACAAAAATTGTTATCATACAAATCCATACATCAAGTGAACGGAGAAAATGCTTGTCAAATAATTTTCATACATTTTCGAAAAAAAAATATATAAAAAAGTTGAACAGACTCGTGACAAAAAAAATTGATTTAAAATATTTTTTTTCAAAAAAAAAAGCTTTCCATACAATTCCACTCAGGGAAATTGTATGACTGGCATTTTTTGATGGCGACACAAAAATTTTTTCAAGCAATTTTGAAAATTTGCCCCAAAAATTTTTTTGTTTTTTTTTCAACCGCAAATCAAATTTTGTACGCAAACAAACATTTTCCGAAAATTCTTTCTGCTTGCAAAATTTAATTTTTTGTGTGCATAACGTAGTCCTGAAAACGATAATATTGGCTTTTTTTCACTTAAATTTTTTTTTCAAAAACGCTGAAAATTCCTATTTTTTTTGTATGGCGTGTTTATGTATGCCTTGATCAATGTCTGATAATTTGAAAATTCAAAAATTTAAAATAATCATCACTTAAAAATTTTGCCAAAAATGAAAAGTTTGTTACTTCTGTTATATCATTTGTGAAAGACATCAGGAAAGCAATTCAGGTCGTTTTTTATGCATAGAAAATGTAAGACCGTACAACCTTTGGTGCTTTGAGTAACCAAGGTCTTTGTCACTTGTGTTTGGTTGCAAACACAACCCAAAATTTTTCAGAAAATAAATTTACGAACAAAAAACAACTTTTTGATTTATGGAGAAAACACCTATCATACAATTTCCATTTATGGGAAAATGCTTATTATAGAATTTTCATACAATTTTCTGTACGTATGGAACTGTATGAAATTGTATGAAAAAAGATTTCTCATTTATGAGAATTGTATGACAAGCATTTTTGGTCAACCCGGGTAAACAGTGCGCAAAAATGCACAGTTTGGCCCCGTAATGAAAATGCCTTTAGAAAATTTTCAGGGTCGACGCCAAAAATAAATATCTCAAAATAGTACAAAGGGGGACCGTAAATCGGCCCCTGATGACTAGTATTTTGTCAACCCGGTGTTCCCAGCTCCGTTAGTCTCTTCTCTGCTCCTCTCGAAAAAAAAACAATTGCAGTGTAACTTTCATTAGTTTGCAAGGATTTTGACAAGCATCAAAATGTATCAGATTAATTTGATATATCAATGAGACAGCAGTTTCAATGGTAGTCAGTTTTTTCAGTGTTAGTTTTCAGCCAATGGGAATCTAGTATTCCTCTCCCTCCTCCTCTTCGCCTTCGCCTTCAACCGAGTCGACTCCGACCTCTTCGTAGTCCTTCTCCAGGGCAGCCAGATCCTCTCGGGCTTCGGAGAATTCTCCCTCCTCCATACCCTCTCCGACGTACCAATGGACGAAAGCTCTCTTGGCATACATCAAGTCGAACTTGTGGTCCAATCGAGCCCAGGCCTCGGCGATGGCGGTGGTGTTGCTCAACATGCAGACAGCTCTCTGCACCTTGGCCAAGTCACCTCCGGGAACGACAGTCGGAGGCTGGTAGTTGATTCCCACCTTGAATCCAGTGGGACACCAGTCGACGAACTGGATTGTCCTCTTGGTCTTGATGGTGGCGATAGAGGCGTTGACATCCTTAGGGACGACATCACCTCGGTACAACAGACAGCAAGCCATGTACTTTCCGTGTCTGGGATCGCACTTCACCATCTGGTTGGCGGGCTCAAAGCAAGCGTTGGTGATCTCGGCGACTGTCAACTGCTCGTGGTATGCCTTCTCTGCCGAGATAACCGGAGCATAGGTGGCCAAGGGGAAGTGGATTCTCGGGTATGGCACCAAGTTGGTCTGGAACTCAGTCAAGTCGACGTTCAAGGCACCGTCGAATCGGAGAGATGCGGTGATTGAGGAGACGATTTGACCGATAAGACGGTTCAAGTTGGTGTAGGTTGGTCGCTCAATGTCCAAGTTTCGTCGACAGATGTCATAGATGGCTTCATTGTCAACCATGAAAGCACAGTCGGAGTGCTCCAGGGTGGTATGGGTAGTCAAGATGGAGTTGTATGGCTCCACGACTGCCGTCGAGATCTGGGGAGCAGGGTACACAGCGAACTCCAGCTTGGATTTCTTTCCGTAGTCGACGGAGAGACGTTCCATCAACAGGGAAGTGAAACCAGATCCAGTACCACCACCGAAGGAGTGGAAGATCAGGAATCCCTGAAGTCCAGTGCACTGGTCCGCCAGTTTTCGGAGTCTGTCCAAGACGATGTCGATCATCTCCTTGCCGACTGTGTAGTGGCCTCTGGCGTAGTTGTTGGCGGCATCTTCCTTTCCGGTCATTAGCTGTTCCGGGTGGAACAGTTGTCGGTAGGTTCCAGTTCGGACCTCGTCGACTACGGTGGGTTCCAAGTCGACAAAGACGGCCCTGGGGACGTGCTTACCGGCTCCGGTCTCGCTGAAGAAGGTGTTAAAGGAGTCATCACCGCCTCCGATAGTCTTGTCACTGGGCATCTGGCCATCAGGCTGGATCCCGTGCTCCAGACAGTACAATTCCCAACAGGCGTTGCCGATCTGGACACCGGCCTGGCCAACATGGATGGAGATACATTCACGCATTTTGATTAGTTAGAGTTTAAAGGTTCCTTTTGTAGAAACTGGTAATTTTTTGACCAACTGAGTTGACGAAAGAATTCTGAATAAATAAAAACGGCCGTTCAGTTTTACTGATTAGCAAAACAATTAATTCTGGCGTGATTGTTGCTAGGCTGTATCGAAAACAGAAAACAAATTAAAACAAGAAAGTACCGAATAAAGCATGAATTTTAGTAACCAAAAGTATAAAAGACGTTTAAGATAAATTTTTGTTAAAACTTGTTATAGATTTTAACCGCATGGTGCCTTTTTATACGTTGGCTCTTGCTGGTTTATTCGGCATAACATGCATAGGTCATTTGATTTTTGTAATCAGTAAAACATGTATAAAACGCGCCACAGTGTTTTCAAAGTTCACAGTGACAAACTGAATGACAAAAAAACATGTTTTAATAGATATATTAAACTGAATTTTTGATCCTTTTTTAATGAGAGCATCGAACTTTCAATTTCAGAAATTTTCGTAAACATTTTTTGAACTAATTTACAAAAATTTGAAAATTTGTTTACGGTGGTTTTTTGAATTTTCCCAAGGCAACATAGAAAACTTCTGTTGCTTCCATTTTCTCAAATTTTGAGCCTTTTTTGGAAAACTTAAACCAAAAGTGGGTTTCATAATTACAATTACAAAATTTTAATAAAAAATTTAAGTCATAACATCCCGGGTCGAGTTGATAAATTTCGACCATCTCGACCCAGCCTTGATGTGTTTAAACTATGCTTGATCGATGAAAGAAAAACATTCTACCAAGTTCGGCCAAAAAAAAATTTCGACTTTGTTCGACAGAGAAGTATTTTCGACAGAAAAGTCCTTTCGACAGAAAATAAATTTGACCGAGATAAACATTTCGACAGTTCCACCAAAAAAAATTTTTTCAACAAAAAAAATTTGACCTGGGAGAAACATTTTGAGTCAGTTTTACCAAGGAAAAACAGTGCAACCGGGTTTCAGAAGTTTTTTACCCAAGTAAATTAGTAACTTATGCTTTTCGTAATTTTTCTGTCAATTTTTTACCAGATCGAAAGCATAAAATTACTGGAATGGGTAATGCGTCAAGCGAAAAGTAATTTCCTTAAATTTTAAAATAAAACTAAGAGTTTTGTGTTAACTTTGCATTAAAAGTGTTTAACTTACAAATAGTTCTGAAAATTTTGTATTATCCTCCGTGGGAGCCCTTACAGCTCAAATTTTTGAGAGGAAAATGTTGCAACTTTTGATTTGCAAAAAAACTACTCCCCTCGAGTGACTGTTTTCAAACTCAGGACTCTTATATGGAGGTTTTCCATTGAGCCGAAAAATTGTACCTGTTTTGTTAAGGTCTTGTAAAAACGTTCATACATGATTGGCCCTACTGTAGCTATCCAGTAAAATCAAGTCAAGGTTTTTGGGATATTGTTATCTCCTAATTTTGCTGTTGATTTGGTATCATCAGACAATTATATCTGTTTCCATAGCTAAAGTAGCAAATTGCTAGGCTCCGTAGACCTCTTTCAATTATTAACAGGTAAGTTTGTCCGAATAGTAAGATCGCAATGATAATCATTGCTACACAATTTTGTATAAAGTAGTGGTTTCGTGACAGAATATCACTTTTTATTTGAAAATGGACAAAGTGATCTTTTTCTTTGGAGGGGTTTCGAATTACGAAAAGATAAATTAAGGGCTGAATGGGCCAGTCGACCACTGACGGCATTATCGAATGTATGTTGTTCATATTTGGGCTCTAAAACAGCAAAAATTTCAGTTCGACGTCGACAGCGACAATAATGAACAGTTGGGTTAGAGTGTAAGTTTATCTAAAGCTGTTCTTTATTGCAGAAAGATCGAAACTTGGATTCTGAGTAGTCACTACGAAACAGAAAAAGCAACAAAAATCAAGTTCGAACAAATTTAGAAAAAATCAGTTGTCTCATTGCAACTTCTACGAGAACTAAAAGTTAAGAAAGTGTTTTCCAAGACTCTGGGAGGGTGGATACTCTTTGTAACCTTGTGCTTGAACCCTCATTGTCACTGTCAGTTGATATTAAGCTCTGAAGTTTAATGCTCTGCTAAGTTTGAGTTAGGTTAGGAGAACTGAGGGCTGATCGAGACAGGATGCATCAAAATAAAAGAACTGTTCAACAAACAGCTAACTTGACCTACCGGTTTTAATGCCTCAAGATCTTAACGGTAACCGTGTATTTTAGCTATTCCTAGATTTATTTTGGGGGTTATTCATTCAACTTATGCAAGTTTTTCGGTAGTTTGATGTCTTTCCCTATTTTGATGTCCCTGAACCACGATTAGATTGGTATTAACATTGACCTAGCCGCTTGTGCGGCTCGAAAGACAGTTATACATATTTTTCTAACTCTTGGTTGCATAAGTAAATCCAGACTAAAGAATTTTGCAACTTGGTCCAAGTTTCGGCAGCGGCTCCAGAAAAAAAAACAACGGTGGAATCCGACTTAAAGCTTTTCTAACACTCCAAAAGGAAACGACTATCATTTTCGGAGCCGAGCAACTCCAAAGGGGCGAAAAATCTAATGCCAATCATGTCGTTCCAACCGACATGATTGGCATTAGATATTACGCCCCTTTGGAGTTGCCCGGCTCCGAAAACAATGTGTGTAAATCAACAAAACAACAAATAACTACAAACCCAATAAGAAACGACAAAAAGAGAAGTTCTTAAAACGTCACAGTTGTATAGTTGAAAAAAGATCCAGAAATTGATTAGTTTTACTTCACCTCGAAATTATGGCATCAACTGCCTAGTAGTATTTAAAAAAAATTATGATTCAATGATAATAACCCTGCTTTTAGATCGTCTGAAGGAAGAACTTCTCCGAAAGGTCCTTGTTGTTTTAATTTGAACCCGAGTCGAGATTTTTCACCTAATTTGAAGCAAGATTGGAGCGGTTTGAGTGGTTTTTTTAGACGATTGCGCTCAAAATCTTGCTTCATAATGAGCGGTTTTTCCAAAAAAAAACCACCCAAACCGCTCAAATCGTGCTGGAAAACCACTCAAACCGTTCAAATCTTGAGCGGTTTTTGAGCGGGATCTCGACCCGGGCAATCTAATCGAGAGCTTGCGACCCATTAGAGAATTGATGGAAAAAACAAGTAAGGGTGGACGTTCTTGTTGGAGTGTGTGCGACAATAATCAGTCTACTGTAATGAAGAAAATTTGTCATTAAAAATTACAAAAAATCGAGGTTGCACATAAAAAAAGTTTGCAATGTGGGCCATAAAATCCTTTTTCAAATTTTTCATAAAAATCAGTGTTCAATTTGATCAACCCATGAAATGGTCATATTATACCTGGACAGCAAAAGTTCTAAACATTTTTCTGAAATTTATTGTCAAGGATATAGTTCAGCTTTTTTTGATCAGACTTGAGAAAAAAATGCAAGAAAAAACAAGAAACTCTCAATTAAAATTATTCGCAATTTCTCAATTAAAATTATTTTGTGTTAGAAGTTTCGTGAATGATGTTTCACTTCTCCGCGAAAGTCACAGATAACGAAGCAAATTAGTGAGAGTCTTTCAAATTTCTTTTGAGCTTGTTTCGGAGTACCTTTAGTTCCCTATTACCCTTAGAACGAGATTGCCCGCAGGAATCCTAAGCAGGTAAACAGAATCAAGCGCAAACAAGAAATTAGTTTCAGTGATGATCTTTTTTGAAAAATTCATGACATCAAAAAGACAAAAACAGAGATAGTCACCAACTTGACAAATGATTCCAAAAACTAAAAAAAGAGTCCTAAAATCTTTTTTTTTCTGCTGGCAGCACAGACATACGCAAAAATTTATTTAAATAGTTTTTCACTACAGATGATTCTCAATGACTAACTTGTCTCAATAGAAAATTCTCTGTCTACTTCGTTCTGTAATTTATGCAATGACATCTTGGATGCAAAGGAACAAAACACCTATTGTTTGGGACTTTCCCAATTTCTAGCTCAATTCAATTTGCTACCAAAATTGACCCAACACTCTTATAGGCTGCTGTTTTCAGTCTCATGTCGTTTGCGAATGATCTTAGTTCTGCCTCGCACTCAGGCAGACGTTCAAAAATGAGTTATATCTTTTCAGTTCATTGGACTTAGTGTGTGTTTTTAAATGTATTTGAGTACGACATACCTCGTATTTGTCATCGAAGAAAATAAATTTGCAATTTTTCTTTGGCGTAAGTCCTTCGGTAGTTTTGCCCGTTAAAATGTGAAAAGTTTTTGTCCGTTCTTCTGCTATGTTTCTATCCGAAACAAACAGAGAAAACAGTTAGGTTTCTCAAAAAGCTAGAGTCGAAAAAAGAGTCGAGCTAGCATTTTTGAATTAATCCCTGCTTGTGTGTTACTCTTGGGTACGAAATCTATCGTTTTCATTTTTGTGTTCTTTTCAACCATATGAAAACTTTTTTTGTTAGAGCCCGTAAGTTCAATATAATTTTTTGTAAGTTACTCATATTGGATATTCCATAATTCCTTGTACTCGCAAAAACCTCTTAGTCTACATTAGTTTCTACCCGTAACTTGAGCGTAATAAAAAGCGTACGATAAACATTAGTTCAAGAAAACGGTCGCTCGCCTCTTAATCTACAGTCGTTTGCCTCTTAAGCCTTTTATTCTATCTTAGTTTCCACCCCTAACTTGATCGTAATAAAAAGAGTACGACAAAATTTAGTTTTTAAAAATTCGTAAGGCTCAAGGTCCAGAGACATCATTTAACTAAACATGGAACTCATTAGCCTGTTACTTCCTGGCCATTGCCAAAATGACCCCCATTCTAGAAATCAATTAGAATGCCACCATAGCCATATTTTTGAATACTTAAGACACGCGAAAGCCGTTAAACAATGTCGGGAGTTTGCTGTTCATGCTGTTCATGCGAATTTTCCAGAAGAAAACAACTCCATAATAAAAACTTCTTGTATTTTGACCGAATGGCACTATGATTGAATACTTTTTTGAAAAGTCTCGTCGTGTGCTTTTTATGACCCACTGGGATGTGATGTGGATTTTTTTTTATCATCCTTGTGTTCTTATCTGCATGCTGAATGGAATCGTGTATGGCTGATGCCGTGACAATG